ATCGTAAAGGGTAAAAAAAATTGACCTGACCTGACAAACCAAATAAGCCACATTGTTTTCATGGGTCAATTTTTAAAGTCTTATCTGTTATCCATCGTATTAAAAAATAATTAAATTACATAAAGTATTTTAAGTTATTAAAAAAAAATCAATTTCTCCTTCAGGGCCCTGTATCTCCGTAGAGGGGGCTTCTAGGGAAAATTTTAAAAATTTTCATAGGAACTCGTCATTTTATTTTAACGTCATCTGCATAAATCCGAGAGATTGCCCACATATTCTAGGACACCCTGTATAATCTATGAACATAAACATGTTTATATTTTTATAAAATTTTAAAAGTTCCATATTGTATATGGTACCTCATTTCTTTTTAATTGCTATAGTTATTCGGGTATAAACAAAGCAAAATGAACATATAAAAATTATGTTTAATTTAATTCTAAACATTAAAAATCTGCCAAATCTTTAATTACATTGATTAATCTTTAAAAATACTAATTACAATACAATTAAATGGAATTGGAAAACAAAATGTGGTACCAAAATATTTTCGCAAAACATTAAATACGTTTTTTCTCTGAATTGACTTTGGATCAGATAACTTTCTTCTAAGAGTCCTTAATGAATATTTTTTAAATTTTCTCAATTTTTTCTAAAACTGGAAATGGTAAAGTTTTCTAGTCAATAAGGACCATTTAATTGCGATTTACAATGTTGATAATTTTCGGAGGAATATAATTTATTATCAAATTTACAGAATATCACTTAACTGAAAAAACTTAATGCAAAATATTGATTACAAAAGGAATAAATTTAGAATTTGAAAACGTACCATAGGAACTCCTTTTCTATTCGCAGTTTTCGGACATCCATTATAAGTCATACTTTTTCATTTGTAGATAAAATAAAAATATTTTTAGTTATAACTAACACGCATTTGAAATATTTTAAGTACTTACGAAAAAAGCAGTAAACTTAACAGAAAAAATAAAACAATTACAGTGTAACCTCCATTATCCAAACAGGCCTTTATCCGAATATCCACTTAACCGAACGGAAAAAAACGCAAGACATTATCCGAACGAGCCTCGTTTATCCGAACTGGGTGGCCGCGGAGCTCGGGTGATATGCGAAATTTGCTGCCGCGCTTGCGTGTGCGACTGGGTTTTCGTCTCGCCCGGCCCAATCGCGGTGGGACAGGAAGATGTGATAGATTTAATGACTGACAATGACATCTTGCACAATATAGAGAATGTGGAAATAGCCGAAGAAGAAAATGAGACCGAAGGCCGACAACAAAATAACTCGTGGAGAAGCCGTGCAATGTTTTGACAAATGTATAACGTGGGCCAGTGATAATGGCGAAACGTCTCACAATATATTTCTTTTAAAGGAGATGCAGATTAGAGCCAAAAAATTAGAAAGTAAATCCCTTTCACAAAGAAAAATACCGGATTTTTTTAAATAAAATATGTTCACATATGTAGTTTATTAACTTTTTTTTTTGAACATATATTTATGTATACATACTTTAATATGTAGTTTAATAAGTGTTTATGTCTATATTTTTTTTGTATATATTTTTCCATATTATAATTACAAACTTGGAAGTATTAAAAAAGGTTTTTAGAAAAATAACTGTGCTTTAATTTTAAATTTGATTATCCGAACAAATTGATTAACTGAACAAGACCTTACAATAATTAGTTCGGATAATGGAGGTTGCACTGTATTGTTCAATTTACAAATAGATATATCACTTTTCGCATTTTATCGGTGTCAGAATGTTTTGCATAAATATTCCATATTATAGATAATAATTATTTTTCAGAGTCCTACTTTCCTTTATGAAATGTTTATTTAGTTGATTATTAAAATTTTGAATTTGTCTGAATAGACTCTTTTAGTATAACGTCACATATTTAGGCAACTCGCAACAAATTGTCATAGTTGAAATTGTACACACCGAATCTGACCCTTGTGTACTGTTTACATAGATGCTATAAAAACCTCAAATTAATTTACTTTTAAAGGGATTTGGAAGTATTTAAGAACAACCAACATGTGTTTCGTAAAACATATACACTAATGTGCTTAAAACTTACAAAAAGATATAAAAGAATATTCCTAAATTTAAATAAAGTACAAAATTTACATTAACCGTGTTATTCCTAATGTTCATGCTTGGAAAGAATAGCCTCATACGCAGGTGAGGTCTCGTTGATATGTTATCGCTGTCATCATTAAGTATTTTCTCTTGTTTTGTTTAATCTTGGCATTTTCTAGTTCTACTAAGTATTTTTATTGTTTTTCTTGGTGTTGTACTGTGTCAGTGTGTTTATCGAGTGTTTTTGCTCTTCAAGTGGTTTATTATAGACGTACTCTTAACCATAACCAAACTATAAATTTAAATATATAAATTCTATAATTTATTTAGTTTGTCACTTTGGGTTTGAAACTTCTTAAATATTTCTAATACTGCCAGAATATCGCAAAATTTAAGGACGTGACAAAGAAACCATTTTTTCGCACATTAGGTCGAAAATCGATCTAGTAAATATATTTAGAAATTCTTCATGACAATGTGCACTATGGGGTTGCCTATTATTTGGCGTATGTGACGTCACTACTAAAACTCTGATCTAAGTTACAAAATTAATTATGGTGTAACAAAACAGCAACAAAAAAGCAACAAAACCCACTAATTGTTTCTATTGCAGTCTGCTAACTTTCCTCCACGAAACATTGTCAAAACGCGTAAGTCCCCTGTAACTATTTACAACAAATTTTATCTCGAATCTCAATCAACAAAACCATCCCGCGCATCGGGAATACGTCACTATAAAAGCTCGACATCCCCGACACCTGTTCGCGTGGGGACTCCCCCGTCGCGGAACCGGGTCACACTGCCGTACATCCGCACCACCACCACGGAGCGGGGTCGTCCGTAAGGCAGTTTCGCGTCGTGGCGGGCCAGACTGTTCGGCGACCGTAACGCCAAGCCAACTGGGATCAACGCATCGCCCGAACAACCTTCGCCTTCCTTATCACATCGCGGAGTCGCGTTGGCCGTCGCGGGTACAACAACAACAACAACAAACCCGAGACTGCAGCGGCGATTTCCTCCTCTTGGCCGAGGTCGAAGCCACCGCGCGCCCGTGATTATTTTTAAGGGGTAAGGCTGGCCGCACACGAGCGGACAACGTCGCCGTTGTTTCTCTTGATGCTGCTTCCCACCAGAATTTGATAAAATATAAAAAAACACGGAACAATCACACGTATTGAGTCTCTTTTCGGTTTAAGCCGGCCATACACGACCGGATGAAATCGCCATTGTTTCCCTGATACCCTTTCTTACTGTAGTTTTAAAAGAAATCGCTAAAATTGCACAAATTACGTCTACTCTTTACTTTTAGCTTCTCCATGTTATATAAAAAAAATTAATCATATATAAACTAGGGATCGACGATATACGATTTTTGGACGATACCGATATATCAAAAGCCGATATACCGATATCAAAATCAAGATTATAGAAATTTTTAGGAAAAATATTACCCCATGTCAAAACAAGGAGAAAACTGAAAGTCCAATTTGTATTTTATGCTAAAAATCTGTTTCTTTCTTACATCACAACTTGCTACAAATTAAATTATAAATATTTTAAAAATAATGTTTGTTTTGATGACTCCACATTTTTTGATATTTTTTGTTTTCTTTTCTCATGCCTCTAAGAATAGTTTTAATTTATAACTACTTAATAACTACTTAGTAACTTAATTAAATTACATATACTTGCATGTACTTATTTATACCTGTTTCCTTTATTTTTTAGATTAAAACATAAGTAATTATTCTTTGGATTTTTTTCTGCTAAAACCAATAAGTACTAATTACTGTGGCATTTCATTTCATTTATCATTTATTTTAGGCAAAGAATGATCTGCCTTGCACTTTTGTACAAATAAATTATGTTTTTTCGAGTCTTGTTACTCGATTTTTTAAAATATTTTTGTATTAAAAATATATACAGGGTGGTCGCGATGTAATGGGCCAAAATTCATGACTAGCTTCCTGACGCGAAAATATTGCTATTTAGACAAACTCACCTTAGTCCAAAAGTTGATACTTACAGAGATACAGGATGTTTAATGCAAAATATTATTTTAGTTTTTTCTTATTTATTTCATAATAAATGCTCATATCGAGATGAAATTTTGGTGTTAGGGGTTTTCTGGGGCGAGAGATTGAAATATATCCATGGTTTGCTTGTAGCTCATAGAGAGCGCCACCTGCGCTAGGTCGAATGCGTTGAAAACGACAGAACTTTTTTATCTTTCAAAAATCTAATTCTCAGGTAGCAAATTCTGATTTTACAACTTCTTTTACACAAAAAGG